CAGGCTTCCCGCTGAGCAGGGAGCCCGATGTGGGACTCGATCCCAGGACCCTGGGATCATGACCTGAGCTGAAGGCAGCTGCTTAACTGACTGAGCCACGCAGGTGCCCCTACTGTGGCATTTCTTATAACTGTTCATTCTGAGTGACTGCTTGGGCACTGTATTGAGAGGTAGTGCAAAATTGGGTCCTTTTTAGTTATAGCCTAACAGGAAAGTACTATAAAACAGGTGAAGGAGTGTAGTGGTCAGAATTCGTACTACCTTCCACAGGCCTGTGCAGGTGGAGAAGGTGAGGGTACAGCTCAGGAGAGGGCAGTTGGGGTGTTTTATCCATCATCCAGCTTGGATGCTAAGTGGCAAGGGAGCCATTTTCTAATGAGGTGGGATGTGGGAACCCACTCTTTGTTTCTGAGCCACAGAGCAATGCAGTTAAATATTTAAACCCAACAGAATATTCTGGAGTTGGCAGAACTGAGTACGAGGATCTCCCTGTCTACTCTGACCTTCTCCTCCAACTTCCGGCATTTCCTGTATTCTTTCTGGCTGGCACTGCCCTTGAAGTGCTTATTTTAACCCATGGCTCTCATCTTTAGAGGACCTTCTGCAATTATATAACTTTATTTAGAAAGAATCTACAAATAGAAGAAGCAGGTGCAGTTTTCAGCCATGCAGTGTGCTGGCCTCATGGCTTGTGAGGGGCGAGATAACCCTGGTTCCTAGATAACCCCTTCTATATAGCTTGTTTGAGGCAATGTATCTCAAAGTTAGCTCTAAATTCTTTGTCCTAGATTTAGTGGGGGTAACACAGCACACAACAGAGCAACAGGAAGGCTCGCGCAGGATCAGCTGTGATGTGTTGAAGCTGTGTGTGCCTGCGTCATGTAAGGCTGTTCACCCGACCGAGGCACATTGGAGGGTACGCTTTCAGAGAGCAGAGCGGGCCATCCAGAACAGGGGAAGCAAGACGAGGCCCCATTTGGGTGACTCAAGGACTGGCTACAGTGGTCTGCGGATGTGCTGAAAGGTGCCATCATTTCAGCGAATCTGCTGTCGAAGATAAAGTTAGGGCTTCTCACTTTGGTCTTTAATAAAAGTAAACAGGTGTCCTATTTCTCTCCTTACTTCCGTCTTTTCAGGTTTTTGCCCTTTCCTTTCTGGGCTTGTGGGAATGAGACCGGAGAATAACTGAAGTCCCCGCCGTTTGGCAAGCTGCACAATTGCTTCATCCCTGCCCTTCCCGGACCTATTCCTTGTCCTCGGCATCGGTTTTCGTGTTGTAAGGAGCTGTCCCAGTGACTGGGGAGCTTTCTCCTCATTGCAGGCCTGAAGTCGGTGTCTTAAGGTTGCTTCAGGAAGGGAAATCCGTGTTGACTGTGGGGACAGTGGGCAGAAACGAGGGTGCAGGTCCAGTGCAGAACAGTCCTGCCCTGGCTCAGCTCCTCAGAGTTGGTGGAGGGGATGGGCATTCTTTGATTGAGATGTGAATGAGAAAATGAGATCAAGAGGTTAATTTATTCCCCCAACCAAAGCACAAGTGAGTGGTAATCAGGCCGTCACAGAAGGTATTTGCTTTTTGTTGTGTGTAACCTGCTGGAGCAGCTGATTTCTGTATTAAAGGGTCATGGTGATGGGGGTGGTGCAGCGCGCCTGGGTGGTGCAGTCAGTTAAGCATCTGCCGTGGGCTCAGGTCATGGTCTCAGGGTCCTGGGATGGAGTCCTGCTTAGCGGGGAGTCTGCTTCTCCAGCTCCCTCTGGCCCTCCCCCCTGCTTGTGCATGCACTCTTTATCTCTCTCTCTCAAACAAATAAATAAAATCTTAAAAAAAAATAAAATAAAGGGTCATGGGCAGGTCACATGACAGGGTCTTTCTTTTTTCCATTCCTAATGATTTTGAAATCAGAGCTCTTTGAAGCTGACCAGAGAGGTGATTTGTGGTGATAAAACTGTACCTCAGGGAGGGCGCACAACTCTGGTTCACCATCTCCAGACTTCCTGTTGCATGTTCTTCCCACAATAGCGTCATCAGTGTGTCTCTGATGTTGGGTGACTTGAGTCCACTTGCAGACACTTTAGAAATGGTCACTTAGGAGATAGAAAGACCACTGCCATACTGACCCACCTATAATCATCCCTGAATCAATAAGAGTTGCCAACAGTTTTAATTTCTGATGGGTGTTTAGTTTTATTGTCCTTTTCTCTTTTAAAATAAAGTACCTTTCTTTAATTTTAATTTTGTTTCTTTTTCAGTTCAAATCTGAACATCAATGATGTGCTCGGGAATTACTCATTGACTCTTGTTGACGCGTTGGATACACTTGCAGTAAGTGTTTAGCCTTATTATTTTTTTCATTAATTAAGATATTTTGGGGTTGATTATCCCTAGTTTCCACCAGGGATGGGAGTTCCAGGAAAACTGATACTCAAAATGTATTCATAGCTTTGATAGCCATTGTTTATTTTAATGACCTTAATGCTGAGGGCGAGAAAAGCATTCAAGGTGAAAGGAGTGGAAATGTGATTCCCCTAAATAAAATGGAGAAGAAAGTATGATTGTTTTGGGGGAAACCTATTTTTCTCTCAGTTTCCCACTATTTTATTCGATAAAGGAATCAGTGGAGCATTCAAGTTGACAGTTACTGTAGTTAAGATCTGAGAAGTAAAAGACAAGCTCCTGAAATAGCATCTGGCTACGTGCTCCCCAAAGTGTGTCCTGAGCCCTGGTCCCGGGCCATCGCGCAAGCTCTTTTCTAGAAGAGAAGAGCTTCTCTTCACTCCTTTCTGCGTGCCACTCCATGTTTTGTCCCCACTGGGGCTGCCAACTTGGGTGCTGCCTTTTTCCCCCAGCGCCCCGTGGTTTCCCTCGTGGAGTCTGGGAGCTGGAGACCTCTGAACGGGTATGAAGAAGCACACTGCAAGCAGGACGCCACTGTGGTGTGGTACTTACCATCACGCCGTGTGCGCCATGCGCACAGTCTGCCTCTCGGCACTTGGCTTCCAAGGCACTGTATTTCAGCATAGCACGTTAGATCCTCCTTCGTGAAGGTGATTGCACAACCTCTTTGCTCTGCTTCATTATCCAGCATGCCTTTACCATTAGAGAATTCTTCCTGTAGTCGAGCCCAGATCCTGCATTTAATAATGTCCTCTGGTCTGTTTTAACTTCGCTGAGAAGAGTTTAAAACTGTCAGGGGTTGGAAGTGGGTAATGCTAGCTAAGTTAGTATTGCAGCTGCCCAGGAGCCCACTGGCCGAAGACTCACTAGGACTCTGTGTGCCCTCTCTCTCATCTCTCTGTGCCCTCCTGGGCCCAGGGTCTGCAGGGGCCCCGGGCTTTCATTCTGCCAGCCTGTGGCTGCACAGCATTTTAGTGGCCCAATTTCTCCTTCTGGGGTTCTTGCTGCTCCACTTCAGTCATCCATCATGGGCGATCACAATGTACCTGGACAAGTCTGCTCAGCCTAATTAGAGTTAGCTTGTTGAAGATACCGGAGGCTGACTCAGCCTTATAGGTGTTGATTAAAGAGTCTCCCCAGACTCATATACATTATGAAGGAGCACCTCTCTCGCACCTGACCTCTTTTTTTTGGCCTTCATTGTATCTTTTTATCCCTCCCCCATGCTCAGTAAGTACAGAGACCTCATTTCTATTACTCATTGCACTCTCCACCTAATGGTGTCTCACACATAGTAGGAGTGCAAATATGTGTTCAAAAAATGAATTTCTCCAAATTCCGCATTTCCCAGCACCGTTTCCAAGGGTATATTCCCCAAAAGAATTCTGTTCCCAAGTGAACCTTGAGAAATTCTGCATGCCCGTCCCATTATTGGAGAGCTACAACGTACCCTGACTCTGAGAAGTCCTGCAGTAAAGAAACCAATTTAACTCTTTTGTTCAGTCCAGGTTTTCTTAAGCCTGAGTGAATGATTTATAGCCTGCTTACTCTGGCTGTAGCTGTGTGACTAAAATGGTAAATTAGAATATGTAATTGAAAGTTGCTAGCTTCCTTCACCATCCTCCACTTGATCTGAGATTATATCAGCCTCTGCAGCTGCTAACAGATATTGTTGCTGGTGAGCATCTGTAAGGAAACAAAGCCACTTCTGTGGTTTTCATTGTAGAATATCCGGTCTTCGGTGTGCTAGCACTTCAGGCTTATTTTTCAGGTGTTATTTCAGTTGAGGTTTTCTTGTTCTCTTGCTAACATTTTAAACAGGCTCTAACAGATGTGCTGTGGAAACTGAGAAGATAGCAGTCCCCTGACCATTGGCTGCAACTTGTAGCATTATTGCGTAATCTTTTAAAAACAAAGAACTAAAGGCCAGGAAAGAAACGTCTGTACTTAGGAATAGTAACAACGAAGAGGGGAATAAAAAGATGCGCTAGACCAATAAATGCTAGGAAATAAGGCACACTTGAAAGAAATAGTGTCTGGATGAAATTATTTGTTTTTCCTTTGTGTGTGTATCATTATGATGTCCTTAAAGTCCCAGGATTGTCCTAAATTTTTGAACAGAATGAAAGCATTTTGGTTCGGTTAATCTGTAAAATTTTATTCCCAATTTGCACTTCTTATAGGAGAGAGCAGCTTAGTATGAGATCATATTCATGCACCCAAAATAGGAATTATAATTTTAGATCACTCTTTAAAAAAGGACACGGAGCTGATTATTTGTATGTCTTGTTTGATTTGAATGCCACTGGTTTTATGCTGTGCTCCAAAAGAAAATGCTACTATTTCTCAAAGTGTTTAGACATCTGGATAACCAGCAGCAAGTCCGTTTTCCAGATGTTTTGGTCTCCTGGGAGCCAAGCACCCAAGCTGTCGATTTATTTGAGGAGCATAGGGGAAGTTATATTTTTGTTTCTTTGGTTTTGGATTTATTTTTACTCATTTCAAGAATTTTAGGAACTCTAGTGCCTTGCATGCTAAATCAGATCAGACTGAAGTTTGAGGGAGAGTCTAGTGGGAAGGTGAGGGGTACTAATGATTCATGAGGAATTATTTCACAGTTTGACTATTTGGAGATAGGATTCTTGAGTTGAGGGAGATGGGCTTGCCATCTGTCCTGGAATATATTCTAAGAGATAACTGTGCTTTTCTACCTTTTGTGTTTCCGCTCCTCCCATGGGTGGCAAAACCTCATACAGACATTTAGATTAAGTGGTCCCTCAGCGTCATTTCAAGCTGTTGTAATGGTTTGTGTTCCTCTTTTTAAAGATAATGGGAAATTCATCTGAGTTCCAGAAAGCAGTCAAGTTAGTGATCGACACAGTTTCATTTGACAAAGATTCCACCGTCCAAGTCTTTGAGGCCACAATAAGGTAAAATAGTACATGAAATGGATTGAAGGCTTCTTTTGTGTGTGTGAGCAGCAAAATTCCTGTGAGGCTCTCCCAGCTGCAAGATCCAGGTAGAGAGTCTGTGGGGGACCTAATGGGCGCTGTGTCCATTTTTCCTCTCCCTTTTGGGCTTTATCAACAGTGGAACAATTGACATTTCAGAGTAATTACATTGCTGAAAAGACTCACTTGAGCTTTAATGAAGGTTGGAGATGGGTGTCCTTTTAATGCAGATTTTCACTGTCACTTGGTGTCTGGTCTCATTTCCTTCCTTCACTGTGTCCTAAGAAAAACCCCTACACATTTCTGAAGGAAATGAAAGTTTCTCATCTTACCTACCACCGACTGCTTACCATTTGGGTCTATTTCCCCCTCATGTGTGACTCTCTCTTCTCTCCCCACCCTCCACCAGTGCCTGATGCCCCCCTCCCCGCCTCCCCCCACCAAGGTATTGCGTGTATGTTCCATACACAGTTTTGTATCTTGCCTCTCTAGTTGATATGTTGTGACTATTTTACTATTTAAACTTTTTGAAAACTGTTACTGCATACCATTCCAGATGTATCATTTATTTATTTAAAATTAAAGCTATGAAAACATTTGTGCCGACAAACATCGCAATCAGCTTGAGGTCATTGGAGTGGTGCATGATTCCTGGCTCAGTAGGTTCGTAGATCTGAGCTCGTGGCCTTCTGCCTCTGAGCAGGTCTTTTCCTCCTCCTCACCTTCTCCTCATCCTCACCTTGCCTCCTCACCAGAACGTGGAGAATTTCTCAGCTGTTTGGCAGCCCAGACTAGGAAAGCTACTTAGTGTTTGTTGTCTTGCCCTTTCCTGTTTCTGATATGGTTAAGTGTTTTCCCCATGTGAGATAAAGCAAGAGTCATTTATTAATACTGAAAGGTAATGTTTATTCTGAGACTGGCTAGTACCCTCCCTTCTGATGAGATGATTGAGACTGCCGGCCATTAGTTAACTACTTTAAGTGAGATTATTCTTGGCGGCCTCAGGTGAATGGTTCTCTTCCCCACTCTTCAGTGATGTGGTTAATAAAGAATCAGTCATTTATCAGGGCTGGAAGGAACTTCGAGAAGCCATTAAGCTCAGTCCCTCTGATTCCAGGCAGCTCTGAGTTCAAGAGATTTGAGGCTGCTTCTTTCAGTCTGAACCGGATTGTATGCATTGACAAGCAACATGATTGTATTGTTTTTGTGTGTTCTTCTTGTCATCCTGTCTTTTAGGGTCCTAGGAAGTCTCCTCTCTGCCCACAGAATAATAACTGACTCCAAGCAGCCCTTTGGTGACATGACAATTAAGGATTATGATAACGAATTGTTGCACATGGCCCACGACCTGGCTGTGCGGCTCCTGCCGGCCTTTGAAAACACCAAGACAGGGATCCCCTATCCTCGGGTAGGTAGACTAGTTGGACATGTCAGCATCTTCCTGAATTAAAACTCTTTTTTGATTCATTTATTTGGGGCAAGTGGGGAGGTGATGTGAAAGAGGAAAGCTGTGTCCTTGAGAGAATTTGTCCCAAAATGTGATGCAGGATGTTTTTTTAATTCATTCAGCATTTACCAAGCACCTACTGTGTGCCAGGCATACGGTTGACACATTTGATTCTTCCCCTTAAGGAACTTACTAGGTTCCTGTGCTCAGTATCCTGAAGTTCTTCTGCATGTGAGATTTGTATCCCCTGCTACCAAATAGCATGGGGAATTTGTCTTTATTTCTGACTCGAGTACATTCCCCCAAAGACCCTCATGTGTGTACTGTAGGATCCTGGCGACTGTTCTTGGGAGTGCTTCACGTGGATCTTTCAAATAAAAGCCTGCCCAGCCCAGCCAGTGAGCTGCTGATTTAACTGCAAGATCTGGAATGCGATTCTGTCTTTGTGGCACCCGATTTGCTGAGCTCAGAACTCCCTTGGGAATTGAGTCAGCCTTTTAGGTAACCAGCAGAGAATTGCCAGCCCACAGAGCCTCAGTGATGAAACAGGCTGTCACACTCTTCCTGTGTCTCCCTTGTCTGTGATTTGTTTATGTTCGCTGAGCAGGGGTGAATTCCTAGCAGCTCACTTAAAACTGATAAGGCATTCCACAGCTGGCCTTTGTTTCTAATGCCAAAGCCTAGTGCTGGAAAGAGGTGGATTAGAGCACAGCATTGTAACCATCCCCCTAAGACTTGCTCTTATTAAAACAAGGTGTGGTGTTCTTATTGTCTTCTTTATGTTGTTTAAGCTTAACTCCCATATCTATCTCAGGTGTGACATGGGAGGCGGTGAGCTGAGTCACACTGCAGTTAAGTTTGGTTCAGTAGTTGAGTCTAGTGGCTGTGACCTGGCCTTCTAGCCCCCAGGGTTCCTCACAAGTCTTGCCACAAATCTTTTGTCTCTTCCTGTCCCCAGGTGAATCTAAAGACAGGCGTTCCTCCTGACAGCAATAATGAGACATGCACAGCAGGTGCTGGTTCCCTCCTGGTGGAATTTGGGATTCTGAGCCGACTCCTGGGGGATTCTACATTTGAGTGGGTGGCCAGACGTGCTGTGAAAGCCCTTTGGAACCTGCGGAGCAATGATACGGGATTATTAGGTGTGGTCGCACCTTCTCAGGCCACTGGGACTGGGTACATCTGGCCCCCTTTCCTTTGCTTTTCTCTGGGGCTCTCCCTGCTCGCCACTCCTTCTGTCTGTACCCCTGAACCTGACAATGGACAACTCGGAGAGAATGGCCCTTTGTGTCTGCCATGTCTAATTTCTCTGCGGGACTTTCTGCCTAGAGTGAGGCTGTAATGTTTGATGGGAAAGAATAATGCTTTTGCTGTTTGAGGGTTCCCTTCTGATTTGAATCCCTTGGCATATTCCACTTGAAAATAATTGTTAATGGAAATGCTATAAAAAGAACCGCCTCTGAGGCAGATTATATTGTTTCAATATAAGGCATTCGGAGTTACTGGTGGAGTGGCTTTTTCCTTTAAAAAACTCTAGGCATGTGGTAGTAGGTTGAAAGGCCAGATTAAACCTATATTAGGTGGGATTTTTTTTTTTTCCTCTTGAGAATGTTTGGTCAAGATGTTATTAAAAAAATTATTATGGAACATTTCAAACCTATAGAAGAAGGGAGAAAGTATAATGAATAATGAATCCCTGTGTACTCATCATTCATCTTTAATAATTACTAGTTTTTTGCTAATTCAAGATATTATTTTAAACTGTCTTACACTGAGAAAAATTTAAAAAAATTTTTTTTAATTTATTCCTTCGGGAGAGCAAGAGCATGAGCAAGGGGGGAGGGGCAGACTCCCTGCTGAGCAGGGAGCTAGGCGTGGGGCTTGATCCCAGGACCCTGGGATCCTGACCTGAGCCAAAGGCAGATGCTTAACCGACTGAGCCACCCAGGTGCCCCAGAAAAATTTTTTTTGTCATTGAGAAGTACCTTGATTAGTTGTCCTAGAGCCGTAGAGTATCACTGCAAGAACACTGCTTTTTAAAGGTGATTTTTTTTTTTTTTTTAATAAGTAATCTCTGTGCCCAGCATGGGGCTTAAACTTGCAACCCCAAGATCAGGAGTTTCGTGCTCCACTGACTGAGCCAGCCAGGTGCCGCACAAGTGATTTTTGATTATTCCTTAAATTATTAAATTTATTTACATATTTGTTGTGTTTTGCAACACTGGTAGAAATAAACAAGTTGCCCAAATTGCCACCCCACCACCAAATGGTTTGCCAGGGTCACCACAAATTGTCACCTTTTAAATTTCCCATAGGCCCTTTCAGTCTGGCATGTGCAATGTTTATATACCTTCAACTTATTTTTTTTTTTTTTTATATACCTTCAACTTACAATATAAATAAGCATTTTTACTCTGCCTTGCATTTGGCAGTTCAGGTTTTTCAGGTTGTTATCTTGTTTTCATAGCTACCGTCTTTAAAATCTACATAGAGTCCATTAACTCTTCCAGTGTTGGACACTTGCATTATTTCTGTTTTTTCTTTTCTCCCCCCATTTTACAGATAATATAAATCATACAGTTCATAATTCTTGATGAACAACACAATACTTTTTCTTAAAAACGTTTTTTTTCATCAAGGATAAATTTCCAGGAATGGCATTACTGAGTCAAAGGTTTGAACACTCCTTTGGCATTTGAAATGCACTGTTAATCTGGAAAGGCAAAATGACAAATTTACTTTTCCCTTGCCTCAAGTGTTTTCCCCAGTTTTGTCCCAGTGTTTAAGCACCGTATATTGAGAAAGATTTCCTGCCTCTCTGTGCTGCTGATGGGACTGATAAAAACGCAAGGGCCAAGCATTCATTCCTTTTCTGCCAAGGCCCAGGGTGCGGGAGATCGGTGGGGCCAGAGTTGGAGGGCACCCTGGAGGAGGAGCCGTCCCCAGATACCTGGGGCCTGATAGACTTTGTTTTTGCAGGCAATGTGGTGAACATTCAGACAGGCCGCTGGGTTGGAAAGCAGAGCGGCTTGGGCGCTGGCCTGGACTCCTTCTATGAATACCTCTTGAAATCTTATATTCTCTTTGGAGAAAAGGAAGACCTCGAGATGTTTAATGCTGCGTACCGGAGTATTCAGAACTACTTAAGAAGAGGGTGTGTCTCCTCTCTTGCCCTGTAAAACAAGTAGGGTGTGTTCTCAACATGAATCTACAGCGTCTTGTGGTCTCTGCATTCATCTTCCCACTTCCTAGTTGTTGGGCAGACATTTGGGGGTGAAGATCTGTTTTAGCCTTCTACTGCGGCATAGCAAATTACCCTAGCACTTAGTGGCTTAAAACAACAAACATTATCTTCCATAGTTTCTGAGGGTCAGTAAGCCAAGAGCCACTGAGTGGACCCAGGGTCTCGCAAGGTTGTCACCAGGTTATTGGCAGGGACTATAGCCGTGTCAAGGCTCGGTCAGGGCTGGAGGACCCCCTTCTAAGCTCACTCCTGTGGTGGTTGGCAGGTTTCAGTTCCTCGCCACGTGGACCCCTTTGTAGGCAGGTCCTGGCAGCCGGCTTCCCCCAGAGTGAGTGATCTGAGAGAGATAGAAAGAGAGGCCAAAAGTGTGCTTTCATGACCTAAGTTTGGAATGATGAACCAACATTTCTGCCCGGCTCTGTAGGTCCCACAGACCAGCCGCGGTCCAGTGTGGGAGGGGGCCGTACAAATCACAGCCTTTGTGACTGCCAGGAGTCAGGGATCTTCGGGGGCCATGGTGGACACTGGTTGCCACAAGGAGTGACACGTGCCTGTGTTTCACTGTGGCTTTCATCGCATATAGAGCTGTAATACGGGACCATTACTGAGTTATTTCGGTTCTTTTACTTTCCAAAGAATCGTTCGGATTGGTCTTTATACCTCATGAAAGGACAGTTACCACATTTCCCCGCGCTATAGTTTAAAACAGCATTATTTGCTACTACCCAGTTGTACAATCAGGGGGGCAGGGGAGAAGTGCCATTCAGAGCTACAGTGGCTTCTACCTCGATGTCACCCACTTCCTTAGGTCTTTCTTTGTATGCTTTTGTATATTAAATGTCCAATGCAGGTGATAACTACTGAGTTTCTGCATGTTGGGATTTTCTTGGACCCATTTCTATGGTAGCTGTTGTAGGAACCCTTTATGTGAGTGCTGTGTTTTAGTAAAGAGGCCGTTTGTCCAGGGTTCAGTCATTTTTGCTTTTTAAAGTCTCAATCTAAATTGAGCAATAATCCCTAAGCATCCTGCTCTGATGTATTCCTTCAGGCCCCTGGTGTAGGACCTTAAAAGAGATTCTTTTTTTGTGTAGAAGAAACCAGGCTTTTCCACTCAGGTCAAATCCAACAAAGACCCTGCTACATACCGCATTACGTGGCAGTATTTGTAAGCCATTTGGAATGTCCAAGTGCCTTCTGCAAAACACAGTGAAAGCCCTGATCAGTTACGACGGCTAAGTTCAGAACTTTTATTCTATGGCAGATGTGTCCTTATGCTAGAGTCTGGTATCCACAGGTAGAGGCAGTTTATCTCCAAAGGTTGGAAAGAATGAGTTAGGAGAAAATGTTAATGTTGATGCCATTGAAGTTAAAGGACCAGGGGCTGCGGGAGGAGTAGGGCTGGAGGGCTGTCAGCGATCTTTCTTCTCACCTTTGCCTGCTCTGCTCACCCGTTAGTCGGGAAGCCTGTAACGAAGGAGAAGGAGACCCTCCACTGTACGTGAATGTGAACATGTTCAGCGGGCAGCTAATGAACACTTGGATTGACTCTCTGCAGGCCTTCTTCCCTGGACTGCAGGTATTCAGCAGCCATGTTTGCCAAGAAAACGCAATCATTGCCAAGGGTTTCTGTGTTTTCTCTTTTCTTTTTGTGATACCAGAGCATTCTCTGGCTCCTCTGGATTTGGGAGGTTAGTAGCACAGTATGTCTTGATTATTCTGTTTGTGACATTAGTCCTCAGGATCTGGAACAGAGCCATACTAAATAAGCGTAAAAGCATGGTTGAAAAGTGACCATGTGTGATTTTTGGATCATCTGTCTCTTGTTTATTCTTCGCTCCTAAGTATAGTTAACCTCTTGTCCTATGCAGTTCACATGAGTTTGGCATGGACAGTCTGTTAGGGAGGGCATCCTTTTTTCTGGCTTGCTACTTCTGGGTTGTTTTTATCTCCAACCAGGTCAGATAAGAACTGGGGGGCAGAGGGAGAGCCCAGGGCCTTTGTGTCACATCTTACCACTCTGAGAAAAGCGTCTTCTCCTTAGGTTCTGATCGGAGATGTGGAAGATGCCATCTGCCTCCATGCCTTTTACTACGCCATCTGGAAACGCTACGGGGCCCTCCCTGAGAGGTATAACTGGCAGCTCCAGGCCCCCGACGTGCTCTTCTACCCGCTGAGACCGGAGTTAGTGGAGTCTACGTATCTCCTCTACCAGGTGCTAGACTTTGTGTTTCAATGCTAGCAGGACCTGTAGTGGTTGGTTTTTAGCAGACATTAGCTGATTGGGGTAGAACTGTGGTGTTTGCTAGTGACTCGGAGATGGATGCTGCCTAACCATAGGCTTGTTGGTGTTGAGTGTGATTCCTGGTTCCACAGAACAGAGAAGGCATCTGCGGTCACACATGGAGGTGTTGAACCTAACCTTCTGCAAAGCCCATCGTGCCTGCACCATAGGGCTTTTCTCTCTCACATCCTTAAACATGAAAGAGGACTTACTACTCCGTATTTTCCAGATGTGTTTGGCCAAAGAACTCTTTTTGAGTTACAGTTCTGTTCTCATGCACTGTGGAACCCTGGTCTGTGTAATCATCATTCAGACCAAAGGAATTCTTTTTCTGGGTAAAGGAAATCATCTGGGATTTATCTGAATGTCTATTTCTGTTTAATGCTTAAAAAAAAAAAAAGTACAGTGTTCATTTTCCCATGAAATTTAATGCCAGAGGGATTGTCACTTTAACTGTGAAGTCTCCCCCGCAGTCTAAGGCAGATATTTTTACCTCTGGGCGTGCCCTCCATCTATACACATGGAGAGTCTGCATCCATTCACAAATACAGCAGCTTTCTGCAAAGCCGGCCTTCAGTGCACCTCAGTGGACCTGTGACAAATGCCTGCAGGGGGCAAGCCTGCACAAGAAGATACTTACTTTTATGAGTTCTCGTAGTAGGATTAGTACTGTGGTTAGGATTTATTAAAGAAAAAGTTAACGCTGAATCGTGCCATTTGCTTCTAGATGAAAAAGGGAGAAATCCTATGAAACTGGTCCTAGTCCTCACGTGCAAAGAAAGACCTTGTGAGTTTTAGATAACCTCTCAGAAGAGGGCACAGATAGCCTCCGAGTTTGCTTCTCTGAGCTGGATGGACAGCCCGGCTCCAGGCGCTCCAAGGAGGCCACGCCTGGGTGCTGCTGAGTCTCCTCTTAAGCTTAGATCTGTTGTCTTTGGGTTCATACCTCTTCATTTCTGTCACTTCTTCTTTCCTATTTTCAGCTGCTTCTTCCCGTTGACTATTTTCTTAGAGCTTCCTGGCCCCGCCTTCGGAGGCCACTCCCTGTGCTCTCTTCCCACACAGATCGCTGCCCTCAGACATAGGAGTTTGCATTTGCCCCTGCAGGCGGGCAGTAGGCGTGACTTCAAGATGATCCCCAGCTTTTAAATTGTTTGTGGAGTACTGGTCTCATCTTTGCAGAGAATTGGTTTCCTATTGAAACTGTGTAAGAGCACGTGACAGCAGAGTAAGCAACCCTAAGGACTGAGTTCATAGGGCAGTTCGAGAGGAAAGTGTGGGGGCCTCCTGTTTGAAAGTCTTCCTGTTCCTCTTAGCTTTTCCTCGAAAGGCTCTGTAAGTGGAATGGGGGCAATGTCCTGCGTCCTTGGGCCTGCATCTTAAGTTTCTAGAGAGTTCGAAGGCGAGAGAGAAACTAGATTTGTTCTCACACACGGTACTGTTATTTCACTTCTGATCATGACGGGGATCAGGAGAGCCAGAGCAGGTTATCGTTCTGCCCTGGAGTGGATTGTCTCAGCCCTGGTTACGGTTAAACAGACGGCACAGGTACTTTGACGTGAACCAACAGAACACCGTAGTTCTTTAACATTTGTGCCCTTCCAGGGTAACGTGAGCTGGGCACTGGCCTGCCTTTGGCCAGTGACTCTCCTCCTCGGGGGATTCCTGCAGTCACCGTGATGTTCGTTGATGGCATGTTTTCCAGACCCTTGCTGGATCACGTTCTCTCATGTTCTCTCTAGGCAACCAAGAATCCCTTCTACCTCCATGTAGGAATGGATATTCTGCAGAGTCTGGAAAAGTACACAAAAGTCAAGTTAGTTTCCTAAGTTCCTTCCTTTTTCTGTTGGCCACTTTTGATTTATTTTTAGTTCTGGGGAAATATTCTGTTTTGCACTTTAATTTATAGAACAGGTCATTAATGTTAGTTCTGTGGGGAAATTGCTTACTTTTTGTATAGCAGGACCAGTCCCTTATAGTGGGGATTGCTATTTATTTTTTTTCACCTTTGTTTCCTGTGTATTTTTTTTTAA